CCCACCCTCCCTCCCTCAGAGTGCCCACCCACCTAGTCCTGTTCCCTGAGGCCCCCTCCCAGGTCCCATCTTGGGTAGGGAGCCCCTGGACTTCCCTGTGGTCAGAGCCCTAAGGGAGCTCCACCCCTCCAGGCCCAGATGGTCCTCAGGGTGGCACTGGGTGCCTTCCACCCTGACATCATCATCAGAAGCTCCCACACAGCCCCCCCTCCACTGTCTATGCTGGCCTCTCTCCCCTAAATATGCTCCACCACGAAGCTCAGGAGGGCCGGGGACAGCCCCGCAGGGCCAGAGGACTTGGTCAGGGGTCTGACCTCTGGTGATGGCCCCAGAGGCTGAGACGGATTCTGGATTCACCCTGAGCTAGGCCAACCTCAGGGCTGTGGCTGCTGGTGACCCACAGGGTGGGGTCATGGACCTTGTGATGAGGCACAGGGCCGCCTGGCCGCCTCCCAGCCCCCCACCTGGGCTCCCCTGGCTGGAAGGGCCTGGGGAGGAGTGGCCTCCCTCCCTGAGGAACATGTGCCCTCTGGGGGCTCCCTGCCCTTTGGGCGGGGGTTCAGTGCACCCAGGGGAGGGACCAGGGCCAGGCTAAGCTTTCCCCTCTTTCTCCCCCCAGGAAGGGAGGAAATAACCAGAACCCAGCATCGGCAGAGCCATTAGGCTCATTAGCTCAGGCTGGGCCCCCTGGGAGCCCCCAGACACCGACCATTAGAGGCAGGAGCAGGTTCCAGCCAGGATAGAATATTCCACCACACATGCCGCCCATCTCTCTTGAATTTTAAAACCGCACATTTGCCAGCAATTAAAATTGCATGACCGCTTTTCCCGTATGTAACGTCCCTACATACCCCGCGACTTCGCTCCTGGCTTTGGAAGGTTTCTGCTTATTCTTTCTGTCCAGGTCCCTCGGTCCCTTGGGCCGTGAGCTGGCCGGGCCCTGCGGACCACCCCTCTCCCAGAGTCCGAACGAGCTGCTGGGACCCTCCCTTCCTGCCTACCCGCTTCCCAGCTGCAGCCCAGCCATGCAGGACCGTCCCCTCCGGCAGACACTGTGCTGCAGTTGCCCTGGGGTGGCGGGGCTCCACTGGGGTGGCGGGACCCCACTGCAGAGACGGGTGGGTGCTCAGAGCCCTGAGCTGCCGTTTCCTGCTGGGGGAGGCTGCCGTGGGAAAGGGAGCGGAGGCTGGCTTCCTCCTCAGTCCACTTCCCACACAGGAAGCCAAAAGCTGCTCTGCGATGTGCACCATCTGCACCGAGATGCCTCTGCAGTCCCCTGCAGAGAAGCCTGTGGGTGCACTGGGGAAGCCCGAGCACGTGACAGCCTCCCTCACCCCCCCGCC